GTATATCGGCTGGGTTTGACTGATGATTTTATTGTTGTTTCTCATCTTCCAGCTCTTCTTGACTTGTCTGAATGTCCAGAGAGGAAACTCGATCTGTTGTGTGAATGGATCAGGAACAAGCAGAGGCAGAGCGTACTGACACTGGGACAGTTTAGTCACTATCAGCTGCTTCAGGAAACCATCAGCACAATGAAACAAGGCCATCTGAACATCCATTGGGTGAACAGGGTAATCATTTCTCTTTCCTTCATTAGATAAAGACATTTCTTTGAAAATATCAGCATCAGCCTGGTATTCATGTGAATCTTTTGTGTGCTGTCTTGGTATCAGCTCATTGGTCTGCTCTTTGGTTTTAATGTATCTTGCTCTGTAGTTCATCATCTGTAGTTTTTGTAGGAAAGTCTTAACCAGCTCCTCTTCAGCACAAGACTCATGGGTTTGACATGAATGTTCAGTTAGCTGAAGAACATCTGCAGTTCTCAGTTTGTCATGTTGGTCTTTAAGGTGCAGTTTGTTAAAGAGATGTTTTACTTTCTCTCTATTTTTGTCCTCTTTGTACTGACCCAATCTCTTCCCATCTTTTGATAGCACTTTAAAGATTACCTGTGAAATACACAGAATAATTGAAGGCAGTTTGCTGTGAATCACTTAATTAATGTACATCATTAATCGCTTGTAGAAAAAAAGGTCTATTATTGTGATAATAATTCAGAGCCTTGTAAATAATGTATTGCACATACAGTTCATGATTCATGAATTTTGTCTGTCAGTGGGAAAAAAAAAACGTGTAGCCTGAACGAACAGCACACTATGAAAAATATATAGCATGGCAGTTATCAATAATATATATCTGTGCTTAAAACCAGCTGCATGCTGTGATGCAACAAGACATTATCTCAATTAGAATCAAATAAGCTGTCTATATGATCTCATATCTACACTCAATTAGAATCAAATAAGTTGTCTATATAATGCCATATCTACACTGACAGTGTGCTCATTTATATTACAACATGTTTGACAAGAAAGACAGCAGCAGTAAAACTTGTCTAATGCTATGAGAGAGTGAAGAAGGATACATAAAACAGCTTGCATCATCATTATCTGATAGTTCACCTGTTTCTTTACGGTTACATATGGTCATTGCGGTTATACTCTTTTGAAATCAAACTGTCTTTCATTATTGTGTAGGCTATTTCAAAACAAAAATAACCCCATAGCATCATCTAGCATCTAAGTTGTACTCGTTTAAGGATTTTTTAATGGCAAATGTATGTATCTTCCTAAAAGAGCCATATACTGTAAATAAGCTTCAGCACATAAGTACATTTTATAACTGAAAAGAAGCCTATAGTGTCACATTTGATTTGTTAATTAGAGTGTTAGTAAGGTTGTTCTTTGTAAAGCTGCTTAAAATGTATTATAAAAAATAAATTGAATTGAGTGTGCAAACATTGAAATGTGCAAACATTTTGTTTGACAACTGCAATTTCTATTAAAAAAATTTAAAATACGAGGGAAATATTTAACAAGTAATAGACAAAGGAGGTGGATATTAAGATGTGAAATGAACAGACTGAGAACTTTATCTTAGTAGGTAAAACATATCGACAAAGTTTTTTTCTTTGGGGACATTTGCAGTTGGAAAAAAAAGGTAATACATAGCAATATATTACAATATATTCTGCATATAATAATGTCATATCATTGGGCACCTTGTGATTCCCACCTGTAGTACATAACAATATAACTAGTGTATAGCAATCATGCTACAATACTTTTTATCAGTTACTGAAATAATTGTATATTACCTTTTGTAGTTGTTTGATACAGTCCAGGAAAATAATTATAAGAAAGCCAGCGATGCTCCACAGCACATTTAACATGTGAACAGTTTTTCTCATCTACAACATGCCAAAAAAGATGCAAACCAATGTTAAAGATTCTTAAAATTAGGTACTTTTCTATAAATAAATATTAGTTGTATGCTGTATAAATACACCACAGTACAGTGTACATAGACATTGTTGACACGAGGTAAAAAACAAACAAAAAAAAACTATTAATGTATTTCTAAGGCTTTAATATATTTGCATATTATACATTTGCACAAAAACCCATGTAAGTAAAATGTATCTGTAACAACTTCCTGCCTCTGTTAAATCTTTACATAGCACTTACCATGTGTCTCTCCTTTGTCCCTGTGGTAGCCATTTGCTCCATTATTTCTTTATTGATTGTGTATTCATCTTGTGAAACAAAGGTGAAAAAGGAAATTAAAACAGGAATGCCACTAAAATGACCTTTGGTAACCTTTGGTTTGCTGACTGAGGGTATTTTTGCATTTTTATTTGTGAAGAAAAATAGTTTTAAATTGCAAACAAATTATTTATACTTCTGGTTAGGGGAGATACAATGAGACTTTGAACACTCCTGTAGTGCTTAACTATATTTTAATATTTTGATCTATTTATATCCACCACGCTGTGTATATGTATTAACCAATTTTTGTAATAAAAAATATGCCTCTTGTGCTGAAAGATGAAGAATAAATTCAGTAAATTATCCAATGTGCCATCATTACAACAGCAGGCTGCTTTTTTTTTGCCACACCTGTGACCAGGGGTGTAGCGCCAATGTTGGGCCCCAGTCACAGAACTGAGGACTGGGGCCTTCTGTATTGTTTCTTCTGTGACTTATGGAAAGTATATGTAGGGCTTTTATACACAGTGTGTGCCATTGTACAGACTAGGTTTATCCCTCACAGCCTCATTTTCGTCCAGGAAAAAAATCTAAATGCCCTGTCTAAGGGGTTCATGCACTTTGGCGTCCATTCATTTTTTGTTTTGTTTTTTGCAATTTCTTCTTTAATGGTTCAAACTGATGACTAGAATAAGCAGACACACACTAATTTTGATTATTCAAAATTAATATTTCATTAAAAATCGTAAAAATAATATAAAGCTTGTTTTTTATTGAGATAAAACGTGCATTTTCTGCTCTTAAGGTCCCATTCACCAAGATACATACTCCTTTACCCCCACCCTTGAATTTATACATTTATTTTAACGAATAATAAAGTCCTTTTTATTTTTCACATTCTAAAACCTGTTTCACTCTGAAATATGTCACACTACATAAATCTAATTATTAATCAAAAATCTAAATGGCAAGATGCAATAGAGGTTTGCTTTTGTTACATTTAAATGGATATTGCGTTTTTCTAGTTGTAAAGCTTAAAACAATGTTAAGATACTAATAAATAATAGATTTTCGTTGGACTTGGACTCGACTCGGACTAGGCTGTTTGGGACTCGTACTTGAGTCTGACTTGGCCCATTTTGGACTCGGACTTGTCTCGGACTCTATTGATTAAAGACTCGGACTCGACTTAGTTGGACTCGAACCCAAAACTAGTAGCTACCCTTCCAAGGGGAAGTCTACTCCTACTCAGGAAAGGAGGGATAATGAGAGCAGGGTCTCATACAGTGTGCCCACCACTCTTATTACCCAGGCTGTAGACCCCTAGGAATTGCAGGGGAGCTTAAGTTCCACTTTAAGACAACTAGGAGAGGACAGTTCAACCCTGCCTTGATTAAAGGCACTCAACCCATATTACATGACAGATAACAAGAAGGGATGTGTTCACAGGTGAACTTTCTTTATTCATTAGTACTGTCATCATGGTAGGGCAGCCATCCAAAAGGGAGCAAAATCCCTGCTTCATGACCCAACAACACTTGGGTAGGGAGATAAGGAAACCTGGTTCCGTTCAGGGGAGCAGCCGTGGCCTAATGGTTAGAGAGTCAAGCTTGTAACCCGAAGGGTTCGAGTCTCTGTACCGGCAGGGATTGTAAGTGGGGGGGGGGAATGTACACCCTCAA